GGTGCTTCCAGTATAAAAACTTCTGTCTGAAAGTGCTTGATTATACAAATAATGTTCATGATTGTGCCTCCTGAGTTTGAGTTCCCTGACAAGAAGGGAGCTGTGTTAGTCTATGGTGACAACAATTCAGGAGTGTGGTAGCACTTTTCCAACGAATAAAAGCTTGTCCTTTCAATAACATTGGTTTGTTGGAAAAACTCCTAAATTTCTGAGTTCCCTAGAAACTGATGTTTATCTGAAACTAGTGATGATATATCCTCAATCTTCTGAACTTTGATGGCTGCCATTGATCCCGGGCCTGGAATTTTGCCATGTGTTTACTACTGACTTTGTGATAAGTGCTGTCTGCCCTGTTAAAAAATCTTGAACTGCTCTCTGAAACAGCAGGCAATACAACACTGTTTTGTGGCAGTGAATAAAGAGCATAGGAGTTGTTCTGGAGTTAAAATCCTTGCAGAGGAATTACACCTCTTCCTCTAAAGTCATATTTTCAGTTAAATTTCCCCCTATTCCATGATAACTAGTCTCACTGACTCATTTCCTATGATCAACAGAGTTCCAAAATGTGTTGGTACTTGTACTTTTTATACTGTCTGCGTGTAACTTAAGTGGTGATTGAAATTGCTGTTCCTTCCCTTTGGCTGTATCAGATTTTATTTCTCATTTCCAGATATTTACTCTTCATGGTCATTGCAGCATTCATGCATTACTAACACAGCACTCTTATGGCGTCACAGTCCTTATGAGAAAAACCTATATTTTGAAATCCATTTTTATTAAAAAGAAAGAGAAAGATAAATTGAAATTAGGAGAGAGTGGATATATGCATAGGAAAAACCTGAGCCGAGGCTTTTGGGGTCATCAAACAGTGGTCCTTCTCCTGGCCACCTATGGACATGAACATCAGGGGCATCCACAGGGGAGTCAAAAAAGTCAAGATGGCAGCCACTACCTCACGCTCAAAGCCCAATTCCTTTTATTTGTCACATGGTGCACATAAAAAGGGGTGAGGTTTCAATTGTGGCAACCATCTTTTCCCAGATGTCCTTGATGAATGTATATTCTTCTTTTATGCTATATGATATTGATTAGTATCATTAGTGTGAGATAGAGTAAGGTGGAGAAACAAAATATAAAACTTTTATCCAAATAATAACAAAAATACTTCTTCCTCCATGCTGGAACAAAAGACAACTAGAAGTAATAGATGACCTCATCACCTTCTATTGTAGTTGTCAAATCCAAGTTGGTGGCAATTGCTTGGACAGCAAGTAGATGCAAGCTTTAACTGTGCATAGCTAAAATACATCTTTTGCCTGTCTTAAATAGCCAACTGCCTGCTTTTCTTAGAAGATTCAGAACTCTGATATTATGGAACACTGTAGTCAACAAAGAACCTCTATGTACACACTGCAACTCCGTGGTTGAGTACAGCTTTATCCTGTTTTCTCCCATCCAGAACCTAACAGCCTCCAGGCACAAGGACAAGACCTGAACGGCATCTCTGGATCAGCCTGGGTGGCAATGCACAACTGAGCATCATCAATGTCTTGATGATACCTCAGCCTCAATTTGTGAATGACCACTCCCAGAAGCTTTGTGGAGATGTTAAGAGGAAGAGAACCAAATCCTGCAGCACCCCACAAAAGATGATGAAGTTACCTGCTTAGCAATATCTTGACAAATATGAGGCATGCACAATTAAGCACATATTAGATTAGGAAGAGTATAAAAGGAGAACTCCCATCGAAGCTACTTCAGCTATATCCAAAATGGACTCTTCCATCAGTTCTTACATGGGTATGGTTCAGATAGACCTACTGAACAATTTACTGTACAAACCTAATTATCTGATTATGTGAATGCTGTGCCAATCTAAAATAACCTTGTAATATTTTTATGTTTATTTTTTTGCCTGTTTTAAATGTAAGAGAGTTGTGTTGTCTTTTTTAAAAAGATACTTTTCACCTCCCAGGATGATTTAAAGATAAATAGATTTAGACTACAAAAGATTATTCTCTAGGATGGTGAACTTGATGATATACTTTTTTAAAAAATCCAAATATCTGGCTTCCGAGTGAGGACCTACGGCGGGTTAGACATCCCTACGAGCATCTCCGCGAGTAGAGCCAGCACTGTGGCGAAATTGGTGGCCAGGCAGCAGGTTCTGGCCAACAAAATTCTTTCTGGAGAAGGAGAGATTGGGAGATCACCCACTTGTGCTGTGGATAGCTGTTTCTTGTGAGGAGATTATAGGAATTGAGTTTCTTATGGTCAATCATGAGTTGAGCAACTTGGGAGCCGAGGGAACATCATTGCATTCAAAACCGCTGTGTAGCCTTTACGGACATATGACTCGCAAAAACTTCACTTTCTTAAACACTTTTGGATACAATTAATTTACAACTTAAGAGAGATCTGCTGAATGGCAGGAAAGAACAAAGACACTTGGTGAGTCACGTTCTGTTTGGAATTAAGAATGGGGGGAAAATGCTATCTTAAAGGATTTTAATTTAAAAGCAAAATCTCAACAAAATTGTGATTCAAGAAAGTTTTAAATGGATAAAGGGAACAGTAATTTCAGAAAACAGAAGAAATTTTTTTTCTGACGAAAGTGCCTTTGAAAATAGTAAAATTATTCAGACAAACAGGCTGGACCTTTATGGGAATGCTGATTGTTTATTATTAAGGAAAGTAGATAATTGGTGGATTTTACAAAATAAGAAGATAAGGGTAATATGAGACAGACT